ACTGGGCGGCTCCTTGGAGGCAAGGATTCTGAGGCTCCGTCTAACATACTTTGGACATGTTGTGAGGAGAGACCGGTCCTTGGAGAAGGACATAATGCTTGGGAGGGTGGAGGGACAGTGCAGGAAGGCCCTCTATAAAGTGGATTGATTCAGTGACTGGGGAAATCGGGATGGGAGTGTCAAAGACAGTGCAATTGGCACAGGACAGAGCAGAATTTAGGGCTGTTGTACATAAGGTCACTATGAGTAGTAAGCGACTCGACAGAACATAACAACAACAACTACTACTACTACTCCTGGAAATACCATTCCCCTACGCAGAACCTTTCTTTGGTTGAGAGTAAAAATATATTAGACTGTCTCCTCATGGCTGTCACTTGTGTAACCTTTCTTCCACTGAAGAGCAGCTCACTGTACTGAGCTGCGAAAACCACTTGGCATAGTCAGAGCCTTCTCTCCTAACAGCTGTGCAAAAGGAGACAACCAGAGGACAGTTGCAGATCCAACATTACCAAATCCTTCACTTACTCACCTTGCCCAATCTTTACCAGAATGAAGCATAAATTCCCTCAGGCCCTACGAGTTCAGCAGTCTGTCTACTCTCTCTCTTCATCCTGATTTTTTTATGTTGGCTTGCATATTCATACATATTGTGTTTCATTCATGTACACTGTGCTTCAGACACTCATTCATTCACATTGTGTTTCAAAGAATCTCATCCCAATTGAGACAAGAGTGTGGAAACTATTGAACAATATCACACATGAGCAAAATCCTGCTGAAGATTATCCAGAAACGACTGGAATAGTACAATGACAGAGAACTACCAGAAATACAAGCTGGGTTTAGAAGAGGTCTTGGCACTAGAGACCTTACTACCAATGTGAAATGGATCTTGGCATAAAGCAAAAAGTACCAAAATAATGTCTATCTGTTATTTCATTGACTATGCAAACACATCTGACATATTGTGGTTAATTTGGAGGAAAATGGGAATCTCAGAACAATTGAATGTGCTTATGAGAAACCTATTATTTGGACCAGCAAGCAGTCCTCACAATAGAGCAGGGAAACAATGCATGATTCAAAATTAGGAAAGGAGTGCATAAGAATTGCATCTTATCTCCAGACATTTTCAATCTGTATGCAGAACAGATTGTTTGGGAAGCAGGGCTTTATGAGGAGGAATGTGGCATCAAGATTTGAGGAAGACTCATTAACAACCTACGATATGGAGGTAACACAACCTTGCTTGCTGAAACTGAAGACCTGAAGTGTATGCTGCAGAAAGTCAAGGACTGTAGTCTTCACTATGGATTGAAGCTCAACACAAAGAACAGAGATTCTCTCACCACTGTGCCCATCAGTAGCATCATGATAGATGGAGAAAAGATTGAGGTTGCTAACAATTACAGCTTTCTTGGTTCCACTATCAACACTCTTAACACCAGCAGTCAGGAAATAAAAAAAGATGAATTGCACTGAGAAAATGTGCTGTCACAGACCTCTCCAGAGTGTTGAAAAGCAACTGTGTCTGTCTAGAGACTAAGGTGTGCCTAATACAGGCCATGGTTTTTGCAATTACTTGCTATGCATCAGACAATGACTAAGTATAACAGAAGAAGAATCAATGCCTTCGAGTTGTGGTGCTGGAGAAGAGTCTTGAACATACCATGGACCACCAAGAAAACAAACAGGTCTGACTTGGAGAGGGTGAAACCAAGTTTCTTCTTGGAGGCTAGTATTTTGAAGCTCCATCTCACATACGTTGGGCATATGGCCAGGAGAAACTGGTCCTTGGAGAAGGACATCACACTCAGAAAGGTGGAGGGACAGCCCAAGCGAGGAAGACTCTGGATAAAAAGGCCTGATAAAGTAACTAGGGCAATGAATATTGGTGTGTCAGAATTAGTGAGACTGGCTCAGGACAGAGCGGGGTTCAGAGCTACTGTTCATAGGGTCACTATGGGTTGAAGGCAACTTATAGCAAATAAGAACATCATTCCAACTGGAACACAAACACATAGAATTTTTTTGCTAAAATAGTTACTGTTACCTCCAAAAACTGTCAGAGAGAAAGAATAAAAAGAAAATGCATTTATCTAAGACACAAAAATATCTTTACTATGTATCCATATTTTAAAATGTAATAGGAGATGGTAAATGGAAACTATGCAAGTGGAACAGTAGACAGGTATGTGAGGGGAAAAGGAACCTGTTTATTGCTTGAAGAAGTATCAACAGGTCTAACCATTTTGGAGGGAGCTTTGGAAGCTTAGTGGTAAGGAATTAGGCTCCTAATGCAAAGGCTCCTGGTTCGAATAGCTGTTCTGTGGAAGATGAGCAATCTCCTCCCCTGGGATTTACTGTCTCTGAAAAACCGCAGGAGGCTGAGTTCTGACTCTCTGGTACTTAACAACCACCACCATTTTGCAGTTTAATCCAGAGAACGAGAAGTTGCTCCACGATGATGCAGCCACCGTGCACAAAGCTGCTGACCCCAGACACTACACACACAGGATAAAAGTCTCCGAGGAGATGCTTAAGTACATTATTAGTATAGTCTATCGTTCTATTTATTAGTATGTATTTCATTTGTCTGTGCTATTTATTAGTCTGCAATAATCCCATTTGGAGATGCTACTGCTTATTAAGATTTATACCTCTTCATCCAAGAATAACTTGCTCAGATTCTGCTAATTCTAGACAAAGTCCATCTGATATTAGTCCTTCCTGCATTCCTCCCCACTATTTTTTTTTTAAAGGTATGTCTTCCTCAAATGGTACAAAGAGTTCTTGTCTGAGGTTCATCAGTGGCATCTGGCTTTCATTTGTCATTCTAGCAATGGAGCTGAGCATTAGAGAGGTGTCCCACGTTGCCCGACTCGTCCCATGGCCAAGTGGAACCAGCCTGGGATGAGTCACAGCTTCCAATTTACAAGACATCAAAAGCTGTCTCTGTTAGAAACATCATGTTGATACCAACTGAAACAACGAAGGGAAAGCCAGCCTTTGGCTAATCATCAAACCCAACAATTAGATTGGGTGATCACATTCCTTAATAGTATTCATGTACTATTCACTTTCCTAGAAAATGACTGCCCCCTCCCTAGAGAACAGGACTCTAGAGACACTTACCTGGTGAATCAGAAACACCCACATTAAAGCTTAGATATAGGTCAAAGTCAACGTGCTCATTGGGCAAATCCACTTAGTTAAAGTAAATGACATCTGAGGATAATTAGCACTTACAAATGACTCAGATGATTACATTTTCAGATGTAATCTCCCAATGGCAGGGATCCAACAGGAAGTGGAGTGGCCTATTCTCAGTAGTTTTAAAGAGGCCAAGTATATTCCCAAGTTCTTGCCATTGGGCATTGGAAGCAGGCTCCAATAATGCTTAAAAGGATGGTAAATTCAATTGTCCCTGAAAAGGCCGAGCAACACTTCGCAGATGCTGTACTTCAGACTAGATAAGACAGCCTGTGGCTCGGTGTCCATTTCCTTCTGCTAAAACTAGAGGAGCCACATCTGGAGCAACACAATGCTGAGGGCAGCTGGTCTGTCCATACTGTGCTGCTGTCAGTCAGGTGAAGGGGTCAGGGCCAAGGGAGAGGGAGAAAGGGGAGATTCCTTACACAGATTCCATTTCCAAGTCATCTTCTTCCTGAGACAGTTGTAGGTAGGGATTATCTGAAGCTGGACGGAACTTATACCCAGTTAAAACAAAGAATATCAGCGTGGCCATTTCATCAAGGAGCTGCAAATTGAAAAACCACACCAAAAGAAGGCAATTAGCAACACTGTTCCTCAGATAGCAGCAGAACCAAACAAACTGACATGCCCCCTCTTCAATCCACCACTGGCTGATCACCCGACTGACAGCACTTTCCTCGGAGGATTCTTGGAAGTCTCCACTCGTAGCATTTGCCCAGAGATGCCAGGAGGCTGTGTTCTCCTAAGGCTTCACAGTATCATTTAAGAGCTCATTATATACCCACACATTCTTACAGTGCCGAAAGAACAAAGTTGATCCTTCTAGAAAAACAGAAGTCTCTACACCATAGAGAGGTTTACTCCAGGGGATCAACTAGTTCTAGCATATTGCAAAGGTGCGGAAATAACAATAAAGAGCAAAGAAAAGAAGTATGGATTCCAAGCCCCATGGCTGAAGGCAGACACCACACCTCATCTTGGTGTTAACTGTATAGGACAAATCTTACTCTCTCTGCCTGAGGCTTTTCTGCTCTAAGTCTTTTCTAAATCTGAAAACTAAAATCAATACTGCAATTACTTCCAAATTTTCATATAATCCTGCAGCTTTCCTGGACAAACAGTTCATTTTAACTGGAGACCAGACAAGACTGAAGGTCGTAATAGTTACTCCCAAATAAATTAGTAGTGACCTGAAGATCTATGGTTATTCCTCCCTTCCAAGATTTCATCTTCCAACTAAATTGTCTAGCACTGTTCCCGGCGAGCAGCTTACCTGGTAGAGCCACTTCCACTGAAACGGAACAGCAAGTTTGAGGAGAAATGCAATGATTCTTGTGAAGTATATGTAACATACAATCTACAAGAGGAGGAATGAAACAAGAAATAAGACCAACAAGGAAATTAAAGCACCACTTTCTTCCAACAATTTGCTATCACAAATTAACCACAATAGAGAAAACAGAAGTATCTGAAGGAAATTACTCTAATAATACTAATAAATAAATATGAAAAGAAATGGTTACTCTGCCAGCTCCATTTCAAAGGGCTTCCTCATTATCTCGAGGTGTCCAAACTAAAAGCTGCATCCAAAGAGGACAAAACTCCACAAGGTGATTCTTCAACGTCTTCACATACATCAACAATTAATTCCAATCCCCAAAAGGGTCATGTTTTTCATTTCCAGGCTTTGAGAAAAATAGTTTTTCTCCCCCCCACCTTGTCAAATCAAATCTCACTGGCACAGAAGATTGTCCCTCCTTCTCCAGCAGAGCATCTGGTGGATTCAAACCGCATGCCTTCGGTATTGCAACGCAGCTTCTTGCCACTAGGCCACCAGCTCTCCCAAGAAATATTTTCTAATAATAATAGCAAGACAGCCACACAGGGAAAATACGGACTTTGAGGACTTCACTAGAAAGCTTGGTAATGCAGTAGTTAAAGCAGCTGGCGCCTGGGCACAGGAGAACGTCTGCTTCTGTAGATTACAGCATGACACCACTATGGGACAGCTCCACTGTCCTCCAGCACTGCTGTGAGTCAGCAATCACTGACAAGCAACCGGTATGATTTCTGGTCAGTCATTTCACCTGCAGACACCATGTTGTTCACAAGACACACTCAGAGACGTAGAAAGAACCAAAGTGGATTATTGTTGTTGTTATGTGCCATTGAGTCACTTGTTACTCAGTGACCCTATGTATAAGAGCCCTAAACTCTGCTCTATCCTGTGCCAACCTCACTGTCTCTGACACATCAACTCCTACTACCCTAGAAAAGGAATTTCCCCTCATTCTGGTATGGACTCAGCATGCCGGCCATCAGAGTGTGGTCCAGTCACCAGTACTAAGCTTGGAATGTCCAGGCTTGGAGGTCAGGTCACACAGGCTAGGGTTTTAGTACTCTGGCTTGGCCACCCAACACCACCCCTCAGACACTGAGGATGGCGGGAAAGCTCCATGTTGACCTTTCATTTATCCTGTGGATGATATTAACTCACAGCACTTAGCTCAAGTGGGTCATTATATAGTTGAAGGAATTATGATCCTAGTAAACAACAGCAGACAGACTAACACAGTAACGGGGGTAAAGAGGGGTAGGTGTGTTGGAGTCAGTAAGACTGACTCAGGACAGGGCAGGCTTCAGAGCTATTGTGCATATATGGTTGCTATGAGTTACAGGCGACTCAATGGCACATAATAAAAACAAATGACAGCTCTTTTTTGCTTCACTTATATGATTTTCATGTCCACCACAGTGAGATTTTAGATTTTACAAAAAAACTGCCACAGTTTCTATTCTTAAGGGAAATGTTATTTTAACAGTAAGATGAAAATGACTTTCTGCAGAAAAATTTGAAAAACAGGCATATGTTATATTTGAATATCATTAAATGGGGACGGGGGAAGCTGCCGAGAGCATTATGATGGCATGATTCTATGTTTGTCATCAATAAAAATAGTATATGTTGGATGACTAGGAAGAAATATACTGAACTGTTGACAATCATTGTCTTGGAGGAGTTAAGATAAAGATGGGGCGAGGTGGGGGGAAACCAGGATAATAAAGGGGATTGTCTGTGTGTTTCTATAATTACGTATAATCAGTAACTTTTTCTTTTCCTTTTTAACATTAAGCATATATATTACCATTCTAAATATTTACAAGTAAATTTTTACAAGTAACAAAAGCATTTAATTCATTTACTATCTTAAAAGACACAATTAGATTTTATCAAGTTAAATCAAGACTGCCTGAATTGATTTTATGTATTTAGGATTTTACTCACCAAGACATAATAATGTCTGAAAAGCTTCAACTTTGCTAAATTAATAGCAGCTAGAAAAAGGAAAGAACAAAATGAAAGGCTCATTAACTTCTTTTCTCATTTTAAAAAGCAAATTCTATTCAGACACCCTTCCAGTCAAAAGGCCAAGTCTAACATTAATGAACACCAGCTACCACCCGAGGGCCACGTCTTTAAGTCTTTATATTTATAAATGCAACCACTGGGCAAGATCTCCCCCGACCCTTTACCAGGAAGTAAGAGTTCTAGAAGCAGAAGGCTGAGATTCCAAATTCAGTGCTGTGTTGGAGCTAGCTTACAAACTGGCGTTATTGACCAAGTCCAGGTTCAGTGCCTTGAAATCACCTCTGTGAAGAATATACCACTATCACAGAGATCCCCAAACACTTCAGATCAGGAACCCCACTCTGTCCCCCAGAGTCGGCATCAAACATTTGCTGGCATGTCACTGGAGCTGACAGAGTGGCACCTTCCTCAGGCACACTCTCAGGCTGCTCATAGAAAAGCACCTGAGGACACTGAGGGGGTTATTTCAATTAACCCACCTATTCATCACGCCAGATTCACAGAGGTTTCCACAAAATGTCTTGCAAAAATAGCACCTTCCTGACTGTCCTACCTTCATGAGGCTCAAGGTCAGCCGCACCAGGATGGCTAACTTCCGACACTGCCTATGGCTATGAAATATTGATGACCACAGAGGGTAGTCAGGCTCCCTCCCCGATTAGCAAGCTTTTCATTCATCATAAAACCTTCCTGCAGGAGGCAAGTTCATTTTGCTTCATAGCATTCAATTAGTGATTCAGTTTAAGAATGGGACTGTGGGTGGTGAAGGTACAAATCTCCTCCTCCTCCTCTGGCTCATGATGATTAGTGGGGGCAATCAGGCTCAGGATTCCAGAAGAAATCCTGGGAATCCTAAATTATTCTCAAGGTGATTATCATCCACTCATATCATCTGTTAAGAATCTCCTCTGAAAAAGCAAATGGGGGGAGAGGGTGTCCAGAAGATCCTTCTGGGAAATTCTAACTTCCCAAACTGAGAGGCTAGAATACTGACTAGAATGGCAGTAGACCTGCTAGGTGCGATGTCTGAAGAAGTGGAGTTCAAGTGCAGGCAGGTCAGCAAAGGCTCTCTGATCCGGGAACCTCACTGATAATCTTGCTGTAGATAATCCAATCTCTCTAGTTCTCATTCATTTTTAACATTCTGTAAATAAAAAATGTACTGGATCCCCTGTTTTATGCCAAGTGCCAGCATACAGTGAACAAAGCAGTCCAGCCTCTGCCCAGGGATGGCTGTAGCCCCTGGAGAAGAGTGAGGCACTGAACCATTAATTAGACACTTAATAGAAGGACACACAGAACACTGGTGGGAAGAGGACACCATCTAGGACGCCTTCCTGTCTGCAGAGATGTCTCACCAAAGAGGAAGTATTGAAACTGACAATTATTTGATGAGGATTTACATTTATCTTTCGCTATGATTTCACTGGGGATTTACATTTGTATGAACTAATATCCCAAGTTGCACAGCAGACTGTTCAGGCAGTGGTGGAGGCCAGCATGTACTGCACCCTGCCCACAGCCAGCTTCTAGGAACCGAGGCCCTCCCACACGAGCTAGTTCTCAATTCTCTTTGTGAGTAATTGGGGAGACGGACCTGCACCAACAATCAGACCACTTCAATACTAACCAAGCATTTAAAGCCCTCCTCCGAATTCTACTTGCTGAAATAAACCCTGAAGAATGAAATTCCTACCTTGCTCACCAAGAGCCATCAAGAAGACAGGGGCGCCATGCAGTGTTTTACAGATTTCTATGTATCACCACAGGGATAAACATGGCTGCCATGACACCCAAGGAGAGGCTTCCCACAGCAAAGGGTCTATAAGCAGAGGTCTTGATGGAATTCAGGACTAAGCAAGACCAGGAGAGGCCAAGGATAAAGAAGTCAGGAAAAGCAGCTTTAAAGACTTACAGATGAAAGAGGGAAAGTTATCAGGAAAAGAAGAGTAGCATACTATGACTGGAACACAAAAAGGCTAAGGTATAGGGTTGGGCTAAAGTGAAAAATAAGACATGGCAGATACACATTTTAGAACAACCTCTCTGTGGAGAGAAGCAGGAACTGGAGTGCCAGCCCAAGGAAGGCCATAGGATGCTGGCCACCACCGGACACTGACAGGCGAGGAGGGACCATGTCTCAGGGACAACTTCATTTTAGACTTTCAGCCACCAGGGTAAAGTTCAGCTGTGTAAGCCATTCAGGTTTTGCTAACTGCCAGGGCAGGTTTAAGAAATTAACAAAACTCATAAAAGGCAGTGAGATTTTTATCAACATAGGGCAATTAGAGGGTAGGCAGGTGTGGCAAACAATGGACTGTCCTTGCTTTGGTGTTTTCCTGGATGAAATGGAAGCACAAGGTCATGAAGTTGAGAAAAGCAGAAAGAATTCCTATTGTGAATTATAATGTGGGCAGAGCTAATGATAATGATGGGAGATTAAGTCAAGGGGTTATAGTAGTGTATGTCCTAAGGGTAACAAAACAAATGCACAGAGCAGAGTGAAGGAGTGGGGGGACTGTGTGTGGCCCCATCCCAGTGTCACACACGTCACAACCTCCCAGGCTGACTTCTAAGGCACCCTCTGAAGAGGCTGGCTGTGAACTGTCCACTCCACATCCAAATATCAATAAAGAAAGACCACCACAGACACAGATGCCAGGCCAAGCTATGTATTGTAATCAATGTCTGACCTTGTGGACATCACTTTTGTGGCTAAAAAAAAAATGCAAGTATCATCAAACACAGCTTAAGTCTTCTCTCCCGTCCCCAAACATGAGACATAATTTCTGATCACATGCAAGTATTTAATTTACAAGATGGCTGCTTGAAGGGATTATGTGCCTGCGTATGAGACCAGTTGCCTAGTCACTGCTGAGGCTGTGATGGCTGTGAGCTGGTTCACTGACTGAGGTAAGAAATGAAAGGTTAAAAGTACAGGCTCTAAATATGTGAACATCTCAGGCTCAAATCCCATCTCAGCTGCTTATTTGCTGTGTGATCTCAGAGAGCCTCTTTGAGCCTCAGTTTCCTCATCTGTAAGACAGGAATATCAGTAGTATCCTTACGGTTGTTTGGAGTATTAATTAATGCGACAGGATCTGGAAAGTACACGGGAAGCACTCAGTGTGTTGGACGGTATATTATTAATAATGACTAAAAGGCCCAACATCAGATGCAGTGTGTACCATGTCATGGTGGCTGCCATACCTGGCAGGAATCCAGACAGTAAGAATGGAACAAATGGTGACCTGGGGACTGCCCGGAGCTCTGAGCTCCCCTGGAAACAGTGATGCCATATGCACATGATGAGTCAGGATGCTGAGCAGGAGATGGAAGTGGCTCTGAGGACCGTAAACGTCACCAGCATTATGCAAGGATCACTGACATAGAAGGCTGCAGTCTACCTCATATGCCTCCATTTACTTTTCTTCCAAAGGCAATTTCTCTAGAGTTAAGAATATTGACAGCGTGCTGTTGACTGAACAACAGGGGTGCTGTGTTCCCAGGGGAATGAAGGCTCACCAGGAGTGATCTGGCTATTTCTGACCCCACCATAAGGAACAGCAAATATGGTAAAAGAATGAGCATGTGAGAGGAAAAATGCACTGGCTAGGAGCCCTGAATTCTGATTCCTGTACTATAATAAAGCTCAGTGTCTGGCCATGGCCTGCCTTTCTAGGGATCTGTCTCCTCATTTGGGGAATAAGCATGTGTTATGAGGGATTGGAAGGAGCTGGAGAGGAGTGGATTAGTATATCTTTATAGCAATGGATCTTAACTGGGGGGAACACAAGAATCACACAGAGAATTTGACTTTAGTACAGATGTCCAAGCAGCTTCCTTAAAAGAAAAACCAAAACAACACAAACCAAAACCCAACTGCTGCCATCAGGTCAATTCTGCCTCAGGATTCTGAGGCTGTTAAGTCTTTATGGTAAACGTTTCATCTTAGCAGCTGGTGAATTTGAACTGCAAACCAACACATTACACACCATGGCACCAGGGTTCCTGAAGCTGCCTCCTAGACTTGTGGACTCCAGACTGGGCTAAGACCTGCAGAAAACCTTAGAGAAGTCAGAAAGGACTGCTGTGAGGCAAGAGGCCTGTGAGAGGATCAGGCAAGCTCCTGCGCTGACCTCTTCTGCTGCAGGACTCCTCTGATGCCTACTCGTTCTCAAGAAAATGACCACACAACTCGGTTTCGGCGTGTTCTTATTGATGCAGATGGAATCAGTGTCCACTGAGGCAAGCTGTGCACAGCCCTTCTGGATATTTAACAAGGTTTAAATCAACACTCTCTCTGATCCATGGGCAAACACACACCATCTAGAAGAGGTGCTGCCCCTTCCCTGGATTTTCACCTCAGTTTCTATAGTCCAAAGAGTCATCAACTACCCTAACAAGACACACTGCCCCTTCTTTCCCAGCTGATGTTCCTGGATGTCTTGTAACTATGACAACCACACAAATAATAGTACCAGCAGCTGCATTTACGGATGATGATCATGCACTAGGTACCACGGCCAGCACTTCCTGAGCTTCGTCTCGTGTGATCCTCACAATACTCCCCATGAAGAAAAGGCCACCACTGCCTCACTGACAGAGAACTGAAGTCTGGAGGAGTAGGGAAACAAATCCCACGGTCCGTAAGTTGAGAAACACATTAAAGCCTGTTTAACCCCCTCCAGGCACCAAGCTCTTAATGCCTGCATGTTGTTATAAAACAAAGGCAACTCACAGCTTTATAATCTACTGGCAGTTTAGGGCGATGCAATCATGGCTCAAATGTCACTCAATACTCAGGAGCTGCTGGCAACTCATTCTAAGGAATTAACGCTGTATGCTTTACATGATACACAGGAAAAAAGACCTGTAACAACCACTTAAAAGGGTAAACATATAAAACAATTCTTTCTGGTATAAGGAAAACCTTCAGCTTCAATACAACTCTCCTCCCCATCAT